TGCATGGAAATTAACAAAGATGCGAATGAAATGTGCTAAAATAAACTATAAAAAGAAGTAAATAAAATGAAGTTATCAAATCACCCCAAGCTTAAACCTTACTTGTCCTCAAGTAAGACAAGACTAAAATGAACTCGGGATTAACTATCCTAAGAAAAATAAAAAGAATGGATAGAACTGCGGAACTTGATCACCGTTAGTCAACATGGTCAGAATTGATCTTGCTATTATCTCATTACTTTTTCATCCGATGACAATGGGACCATAAACCACATCTAGGACAACTCCTCTAGGTGAGTAGGGATGGATAGTCAGTCGCAGCCCCAATGGAACATGCAAACAACGAAGAACATCTGTAGTAGGGAGAAAGCAAATGGACGGGCTCGTATGTAGCTCTTCTTTTTAAGTGCACACTCTTATCACGAAAGTTGCATGATCTCACATTTGTCAGCCACTCTCAAGTGTGATTGGGTTTTATCGCTCGGACACTGTTGTAGGAATCAGTTCACTTAGTGTTGACCCAAACCTCCCGTAGTATCCGACTCAACAGTCTCTCTAACATCACCAATTTGCGAAAAGAAACAACTCGATCTATATACAATAAGACAAACCTATATAAATGAATATCAAACGCCGAGTGACCAAAATGAAGGAAAATTTGTTCAATAATTCAACCGATCCCCTACCTAAGACTATTACAGCCATAAACCTTTTTTTTGTACATATACAAGTAAACTTTAAGGTAATGCACTAACATATTGATTTTTTTTTCTTTTTATCAAGAAAACTTTTTGACTCAAAATTTGGTTGAGGGAGTAACAATAATAATTCGAATGGTCTAAGTGTGAAAATGACAATGTGTGGAGCGTAAATATGCAAGCTCCTTTTCAAACTTGTGATTTTTCAAAAATAAAGAAAATGCCCAAATGTGGGCTAAAAGACTCTCTAGAATCCTAAGTAAATCGCAAAAAGAATATGGTGATGTAAAGAGACCGGATATGGATTCTACTCGGGGACAAGCACCAGTGATTCATCCTAACAGTTCAAACATGATCAAGTGTGATCCTCTCGGCGGTATAGACCGCAAGGCTAAGAACACTCATTGTTATAGTATATCCTACAGTTGTTAGTATTGCATGCATAATTCTTCGTGAAACTACTTGACCATGATCACTTACCCCTTTAAGCTTCCAGCATCTGATCCCAAGTATGAAGTCCCAAGCTGCAGCTAGTGGTCCCTGTTCGATGGGTGAGATAGAAACAAGATCCTGGACCAATAATGATACAATAATTGTGAACCTGTTCCATGGTATCCAAGATGAGAATAAACAGATAACAAAAATGCATGAATGCTAATGCCCTAAGCTAAGTGTTATGCAAAAATAGAAAGTAGAAAAGAAGAAAATAAAATCTTTTTGGAATTTATAAAAAAAATACATCGATTTTATTTTCTTCTTTTCTACTTTCTGTTTTTGCATAACACTTAGCTTAGGGTATTAGCATTCATGTATTTTTGTTATCTGTTTATTCTCACCCCCTTGGATACCATGGAACAGGTTCACAGTTATTGTATCATTATTGGTCCAGGATCTTGTTACTATCTCACCCATCGAACCGGGACCATTGGCTGCAGTTTGGGATTTCATACTTGGGATCAGATGCTGGAAGCTTAAAGGGGTAAGTGATCATGGCCATGTAGTTTCATGAAGAATTATTCATGCAATACTAACAACTGTAGGATATACTATAGCAATGGATGTTCTTAGCCTTGCGGTCCTTACCGCCAAGAGGATCACACTTGATCATGTTTGAACCGTTAAGATGAAGCACTGGTGCTTATCCCCGAGTAGAATCCATATCCAGTCTCTTTACATCACCATATTCTTTTTGCGAGACTTAGGATTTTAGAGAGTCTTTTAGCCCACATTAGGGCATTTTCTTTATTTATGAAAAATCAAAAGTTTGAAAAGGAGCTTGCATATTTACGCTCCACACATGGTCATTTTCACACTTAGACCATTCAGATTATTATTTTACCCCCTCGGTTCCACTTACATAATTTTGGGAACCAAATTTTGAGTCAAAAGTTTTCTTGATAAAAGCGAAAATTCAATATGTTAGTGCATTGAAAAAAAATGGCTGAAATAAACTTAGATAGGTGACCAGCTCAATTATTGAACAAATTTCCCTACATTTTGGTCACCCGGCGTTTGATATTCATTTATATAGGTTTTTCTTATTGTATATAGATCGAGTTGTTTCTTTTCGCAAATTGGTGATGTTAGAGAGACTGTTGAGTCAGATACTACGGGAGGTTTGGGTCAACACTAAGTGAACTGATTCCTACAACGGTGCCCGAGCGATAAAACCGAACCACACTTGAGAGTGGCCGACAAACGTGAGATCACGCAACTTTCGTGATTAGAGTGTACACTTAAAAAGAAGAGCTCCATATGAGCCCGTCCATTTGCTTTCTCCCTACTACATATGTTCTTCATTGTATGCATGTTCCATTGGGGCTGCGACTGACCATCCCTCCTTACTAGTTGTTCTGGCTGTAGTTTATGGTTCCATTGTCATCGGATGAAAAATTCGTGAGATAATAGCAAGATCAATTTTGACCATGTTGACTAACGGTGATCAGGTTCCGCGGTTCTATCCATTCTTTTTATTTTCTTAGGATAGTTCATCCCGAGTTCATTTTAGTCTTGTCTTACTTGATCACAAGTAAGGTTTAAGCTTGGGGTGATTTGATAGCTTCATTTTATTTACTTCTTTTTATAGTTTATTTTAGCACATTTCATTTGCATCTTAGTTAATTTTCATGAATTTTCCCCTTTTTGTTATTTTATGACCATTTCAAGTACTTTCTAGTTTCTTGAGCATTATTGCAGATTTTTTGGAGACTAGCGGAGCGGGATTTTTGGGAGGCGATTGGACTTGAAGGGCAATGAGGATTTCGAGCTTGATGACTATGGAGGTGATTTATGGAGTGGGTTTGTCAATTGCTCAGGCTTGGAAGATTTGAACTTTAAATTACAAGGCGCGGTAGAATTTTTAAGTGTGTGGAGATCGATGATCGGGAGTTTGTGGAAGCTTTGAGTGATTTGGAGAGGCAAATTGGGCTCAAAATAAAGAAATCTTGAAGAAAAATGACCAAAAAGCTGATTGGGCCAAAGCTGGGCAAATGGACTAAGCAGTGAAAGCCCAAGATTTGAACAATGCCATAACACCGTCCTCTTACGCGGCCCGCGTAAGATATCCACGCGGCCCGCATGGATCCCTGCAGAGGGCATTTTCGGAAATTCAAATGGAGCTCTATATTGGGAAGGTTGGTGTGCCTCTTTAGCCTTATCTTTGACATCCAATTTTGACTCATTCTCTCTGGAGTTTTGGGAGCACTTTGAAGGCCAAGAACCCTCAAGAACTTCATCATTTTCTCCTCTTGATTCTTGTTAAATGTTGGGTACAATCTTCACTAACTTTGTTTCTTTGAGTTTAGCCATGATTGGCTAAACAAATATTGGTTGAATTTTGTTGAATCCTTTGAACTTTTGTTGAATATTGAAGAATCCATGAATTTGTGTTTGAATCTTTATGAAAATGTTTTGTGTTTTAACATCTTATCATTGATTGTATGTTTTTATTCATGAGTTTAAATGTGTTGGTGGTGATTAGTTGGCTAATTTCTTGATTAAGTAAAGGATCTTCGAATTAGCAAGCAACAAGTGGTTCTTGTGTTAGTTTTACTTCACACAATCATAAAAACATTTTCTCCAACATGGTAGTGGAAGCTTTTGACTCCTCTTAGATTTGGTGACTTTTTAATTCTTAATGCTAGTTGACTTTCATTAATTTCATGCTTATTGGAATTAGTGACTTTGACTAAGGAAATTGTTATGAGCTTCTCTAACCATTTCAACAACTAAGAAAAGTCTAGATAATCTCAAGCTCCTTGGATTACTATAGCCAAATTAAGGGTTTAAAACCATTTTTCTCTTATTGATTTTATATCAAACTCTTGTTTTTGCTGAAATTGTTTATTTAAATCTTAGTTTAATTCTAGTTTGTTTCAAGTATTTCAAAACACCAAAACCCCCCATTTTTATTTTTATTGTTATATTCTTTACAAGTATTTTTATAAGAGATTTTTCATAGAGTTATAAAATTAAACCAATCTCCGTGGATTCGACCCCTTTGCCATTATACACTATTTTAATGTGAAAGATTTAGGGTTATTAACTTTGTTGGCCTCGACAACCACCAGTTTGCGTGTGTTTGCGTGTGCGCGGGGTTTTTTTAACAAGAAGGGAATAGATGTAAAGTGTGTAAGGAGAAAACTCATTAATCAATAAATATTTTGGAGTGAGTGTTATACTTACATAGATAGAAACCTTTCAAGCCAGCCTGTGTCATCCTTTGGTCTGTGTGGTTGCTTTCCCTGTTGGTCTCATGCCTGCGGTACTGTTGACCATCGTCCACCTGACACCCTGTCACTTACAGGTTTCATGACTGTATTTTGTATGAACACTCAAGTATAACAAAACATGGATTTATTGATAAAAGAGTTCCCAAAACGGGAGTACTCTTACAAAATTTTACATCTTCTCCCTTCTAAGGGAGATTTTACTCACAAGACATTAAACAGAAAACTTATAGGATAGAGAGTGTTTTTTCTTGCCCTCCTTCTTCCCCTCTCTAATGAAAACATAACTCTCAATTTATAGACACATTGAGAGGGTCTGATAATTGCCTATTACGTCAGGCATGACAGCTAGAAAAGCTAGCTGCTTTTAGATCGAAGATTTTATCATCGTTTTGATGTCGAAGCATCTTTTTTAATAATGTAGGAGGCATTATTTTCTTGAGTGGCGGGGGCCATTTGACGCGTGAAGCATCTTTCTTTAAGATGATGAAGATTTGTCATCTTCAGAGAAGGGACCCTCTTTTGTCGTGGAATCACTGCCTTTACAGTAGTTGCATTGATGGTCTTCAAACAACTACTCCGCATGCCTACAGAAGATTTGTCTTGTAGTGGTAGATGCATCAAAGTTGTTGTTCATGAACTGTTCTCCGAATTTGGATGCTCGTTCAAGGTCTTCGTTACTGGTGTTGCCATAGCTCCAGCTGGTGATTATACAGTGTGAATTTGTATAATTAACTTTTTTCTTTGATCCTGAGATTATCTCAATGATCTTTTTAGAAATTATTTTAAGGTCGTTGATACGATTTTGATGAAGGATTTCTTCGAACGGGAGATCTTTGTCTTCCGTGGGTCGAGATTGTTCGATGTCTTTTTTAGCTTTTGCTAAGCCAATTTCCAGATAGTGATAAGGGGCAAGTGTTGCTTCTTGAATCCATTCTGGAAGAGAGGATATGACTCTGATGTATATTGGATCATCTTTTGCTTTGAGAACTTTCTTTCGGAAATTCTTAATGGTTTCTATCATACTGGTTGGGAAGAATTTTAGTTCTTGCAAATTGCAACTTGGATAGATGTTGTCTATTAATCCTGCCGAAAAGGCTTGTTGGATTAATCTTGGATCTGCTCCTTCTAGGAAGTTGTACAGGCTTTTGGTTTTCTTATCTGTTGTGAAAAATCTTTCATGGATAAGATCTTCTGGGCATGCCGCTCTAGCTTTACTCCAGATTGTTCTGAAATCTTCAAAGGAGATTGCAGGATTGTTGACTTCATATTCGACGTCTTTTGGGATATCAAATCTTTGGTCTCTGTGTTCTTCTTTGATCTTCTGGACTTTCGGCTTTAGAAGAGGTTTTTTGGTTTGATTGGCTTAGTCATTGAAGGTGGCAAAACTAAGCCGTGCACTTGTTTCATTTCTGAACTTCTTGCATGTTACTTTATCTACCTTGCAGAAGGTCTCTGCAATTCCCCAGTCTGTATGTATTCCGGCGTGTGGCCCTTTGTAGATTACATAGAATCTTTCAGCTTCTTTGTTAAGAGCCTTTTTGTAATCTGGTTTGAGATCTTGCACAGATTTGTTAGTAGGTGACAAAATTGTCATTTTACTGATTCCTTCAGTACAAGGGTTGGAATTAACCAACAAGCTAGTTTTTCCATGTGGAAGAGGAGTAGTTGTCTCCTTTATTATGCTTTTAAGCAAAGCATCAGCTTTCAACGGATTTGTTGTTTCTTTACCAGGTGTCGTTTGCACTGGAATAGCCTTTGTTTCTAAGCTTTCGCTTTTCGGTACATCGGTGACCGTTGTTACTTGTTCATACAAGTTGATTTTTTGCTCGATTGCTAATAGCTCTATGAGGAGTATTTGTTTCTTCATCCTCAAGGATTTGAGGTCTTCCATTTTGTAAATTTGTAAAATTTTAAACTCTTTTATCCTCCCCCTCTCTTTTTTGTGAGTGAAGTTTGTAAGGAATATGTCGTGGGGATCATATCCTTTTATAGGGCTCGAGAGGAGCAAGTGAGATCATGGATGATGTAAGACATACCTGAAGTCACGGGTGAGACAGTCTGCCAGCACATTTTTATCTCCTGCAAGATATTATACAGTAAAAGTATATCGAGAGAACCACTCTTGCCAACGTATTAGTCGGCCTAATTTGTTGTCTCCTGCAATCTTAGTTCGGAGAAAATAAGTAAAATTTTTATTATCTGTACGGACCAGGAATTTTACCGGTGTTAAATATACAGATGATTTTGTAATAACTCTTTTTACGGCGAGTAATTCTTTTTCATTGCTATGATAGTTTTTCTCGGCTCCTTTGAAACTGCCAGAGGTGTACCTGCAAATTTGTTCTTCGTTTTTGGAATTTTTGGCTTTTAAAACTCCTCCCCAAAATTCATCAAAAGCATCAGTTTCAATAATTAAACTGTCTTCAATGTTCGGAAGATAAAGCTTTGGAAAATTGATTAAGATTTTCTTTATCTTTTTGATGTAATCTGTATCAGTATTTGACCAACTCCAAATGACATCTTTTTTTAATTTTGCCTGTAAGGGCTTTCTCATGGCTGCAAGTTTTTCAATATATGTTTCAGCATAAGTTAAAACACCAAGAAATCTTTGCAGTTGTTTTTATCTTCTAAAACATTTGGAAAATCATGTAAATGTTCAAGAATATGTTTTTGAGGACAATGAGTGCCTTCATTTATTTCTAAGCCCAAAAAATTGATTTTTGTTTTGAAAAGATGAGCTTTCTTTTGTGAAAGTATTATTCCGTATTTTAAAATGGTTCTGAGAACCTGGGTAACATGAACATAGTGTTCTTGTTCATTTTTGCTGAAGACCATGATGTCATCAACATATACGGTACATAAACTTTCAAGACCTCGAAGGGCGTTCTGCATGTGTCTTTGAAAAATACTAGGAGCTTGTTTAAGCCCAAAGGGTAATACCTTCCATTGAAAGAGCCCATCAGGACATGTAAAAGCAGTGAGTAGCTGCGATTCTTCATCAAGTAGGACTTGCCAGAAACCAGATTTGCAGTCGAAACTTGAATAAATATTTTTTCCCCGTAGTAGAGTTAAGAGCTCATGCATATTAGGGAGATTATGGGAATCTCCAATGGTTGCATCATTGATTGCCTTGTAGTTGACAACCATGTGTTTCTTTCCTCTTCTTTTTTCTGCTTCTTTGTTAACTAGAAAAGCAGGAGACGTATGAGGAGATTTTGATTCTTTGATTAATCTCATATCAAGTAATTCTTTGATTTGTTTGGAGAATTCTTCTCTATCTTGTGGAGAGTAAACCATAGGCTTTTCTCTGACAATTGTTTTAGGATTAATGAGCTTGATTGAAGCCTTCATCCATCCTTTGGTTTTTTCTGGATCAATAGGATTTTCAGAACAAACTTTTTCAAGAAGATCTTCTATCTGTTTGAAAATGGTGGTTTGGACAGAAACAATCCTTTCTCCAATAATTCTTTCTTGGGTTATATTGGTACCCAGAATTTGTTTTTCTTTAGAACCCTTTTTCTGGGTTTCAAGAAAACTTGGTTTTCCTTTACTAAAAGCTTCAGTAACCTTTTTTACAATTACCATATCGTTGTTAAGATGAAAGGCAATTCTATCTATCCATTGTATAAATGCTCCATAGACTTGACAGAAGTTGTTGCCAATTACAACATCAATTCCTGAGTCTTGTTGATAAATAGTGGGAACGTTGAAATGTTCACCTGCGAGCTCGAGATTAATGTTTCTGCAAACTTTATTAATTTTTATAGTGTCACCATTTGCAATAGTAGCGATAATCTCTTTGGGAGCATTTTCCCATAGTTCGTCTGGTATGATGAACTTGCTTGCAAGGAGGTTGATCGATCTATTGAGCTCGGCTAGCGAGGTCATCCTATCAGTTGTTTTATCTGGTCTTGTATATTAGTGATCTTAAGGTTGGTTTCCTTAAGAGTGCCTTCAATATTTGCCTTTTTGGCAACTTCTTCCATAAATTGATTATTTTTTAAAGAGTTTTCTAGGAGGATAGAATGTTTATCAATAGATTGGGTTAATTTAATAGTCAACCTATTTTGTTTTTCGATTGTTTCGAATAATTTTTCAAAATCTTTTTTGACAAAATCATTTTTAAGGGAAGCTAAATCACTTTTAAATTGATTAAAAGGTTTTTTATTTTTTGAAATATTTGTAGAAATATCTTTTGAAACACCAAGGTAATGGCTTATTTTTGAAGTCTTTAAAAGACATCTTGCAATGATCTGGTTGAGATTATTGCAATGATTTACAATTGTTTGAATACCAGCTTTTCCAGAAGTAGAGAAAACGTATTCTTTCTTTTCAGTATTGTCGTCAAGAGTTTTAATTTTGACTGTTTTACCTTTTTTATAAAAATGAGGAAAATCTATTTTATTACTCATTTATAATCTCAGTGATTTGTTTGATATTCTGACGTAGACTATCAATTTTTAAGACATGTTTCTTATTAAGTTACTATCTTTTCTTTCTGAGCTTTCTCCTACGTGGAGTGAATCCATAGAAATTCTTGGTCTAAGAGTTTCTCCTAGAGCTTTTTATTTCTAGCTATGTTTAAAACCCAAGAGTTTTCTTGAGGATTTATGTCGCAGAATTGTTTATCTTTGACATGGCCAATTTCTGAGAGGACGTCGTCAAGTTCGATGTACTCGTCTTTCTTGTAGTCTATGCTATGGTGACTATTGGTCAGGGCATATCCTATGAGATAAGTTATTGTAAATGGTTTATCACCTGGACTCATAAGGTCACTTCTCTCAAAGTGATGTATAAAAGATAAGGTTTTATCTATATTTGCAGATTTCAAACCCAGAGCAAACTTTGGATAGACTGAAAACATAAACTTTTGGTAAGCAAGGTTTCCTTTAGCAGCACCTAAGATGCAGTCATGTCGGTCAGTGATTATGTTGTCAATTAAGGCCATTTTTATGGGAGAATTTATTCCTGCTTGGAATTGGGATTTTATCAAAAATTTTACAGCTCCGATATGGACCATTCTTATTTTTGATCTAATCTCAACTGGAATACTTTTCAAGTTATTGTTTATTTGCTCCTTAGTCAAAAGGGGTAGAAAAACAGCTCCTATTGTGTCTTTTATGTCTACAGACATTTCTTTAGTACTAACAAAGTAGAAAATTTCATTTTTCCTCTTGAGAGGGTTTAAAATACTAAGTTTAGAAGGAACATTTTTAAAAATGTTTTCTTTCTTTATTTTTAAATCTGTTTTCTTAACTCGAGAGAGAAGGTCTTGTTTTATTAAAAGGTTTGCATGAAAGCCGTCTTCATCCTTAACATAAGTTAAAAATAAAACAAGACCTTAAAAATAAAGCCGTCTGCATGAAATCTTAACTTATGTTGAGGATGAAGACGACTTTCATGCAAACCTTTTAATAAAACAAGACCTTTTCTCTCGAGTTAAGAAAACAGATTTAAAAATAAAGACTTTCATGCAAACCTTTTAGTACTAAAGAAATGTCTGTAGACATAAAAGACACAATAGGAGCTGTTTTTCTACCCCTTTTGACTAAGGAGCAAATAAACAATAACTTGAAAAGTATTCCATTTGAGATTAGATCAAAAATAAGAATGGTCCATATCGGAGCTGTAAAAATTTTGATAAAATCCCAATTCCAAGCAGGAATAAATTCTCCCATAAAAATGGCCTTAATTGACAACATAATCACTGACCGACATGACTGCATCTTAGGTGCTGCTAAAGGAAACCTTGCTTACCAAAAGTTTATGTTTTCAGTCTATCCAAAGTTTGCTCTGGGTTTGAAATCTGCAAATATAGATAAAACCTTATCTTTTATACATCACTTTGAGAGAAGTGACCTTATGAGTCCAGGTGATAAACCATTTACAATAACTTATCTCATAGGATATGCCCTGACCAATAGTCACCATAGCATAGACTACAAGAAAGACGAGTACATCGAACTTGACGACGTCCTCTCAGAAATTGGCCATGTCAAAGATAAACAATTCTGCGACATAAATCCTCAAGAAAACTCTTGGGTTTTAAACATAGCTAGAAATAAAAAGCTCTAGGAGAAACTCTTAGACCAAGAATTTCTATGGATTCACTCCACGTAGGAGAAAGCTCAGAAAGAAAAGATAGTAACTTAATAAGAAACATGTCTTTAAAAATTGATAGTCTACGTCAGAATATCAAACAAATCACTGAGATTATAAATGAGTAATAAAATAGATTTTCCTCATTTTTATAAAAAAGGTAAAACAGTCAAAATTAAAACTCTTGACGACAATACTGAAAAGAAAGAATACGTTTTCTCTACTTCTGGAAAAGCTGGTATTCAAACAATTGTAAATCATTGCAATAATCTCAACCAGATCATTGCAAGATGTCTTTTAAAGACTTCAAAAATAAGCCATTACCTTGGTGTTTCAAAAGATATTTCTACAAATATTTCAAAAAATAAAAAACCTTTTAATCAATTTAAAAGTGATTTAGCTTCCCTTAAAAATGATTTTGTCAAAAAAGATTTTGAAAAATTATTCGAAACAATCGAAAAACAAAATAGGTTGACTATTAAATTAACCCAATCTATTGATAAACATTCTATCCTCCTAGAAAACTCTTTAAAAAATAATCAATTTGTGGAAGAAGTTGCCAAAAAGGCAAATATTGAAGGCACTCTTAAGAAAAACCAACCTTAAGATCACTAATATACAAGACCAGTTAAAACAACTGATAGGATGACCTCGCTAGCCGAGCTCAATAGATCGATCAACCTCCTTGAAGAGAATATAGCTGGGCTGATCATAAACTTTGACTTAACAGTCAATAAATACATAACCACTACCAAGTTAGAAGTTGCATCTGCAAAAATTATTGTAGACATTACTAAAGAATTATCTGAAAATATTGATTCTTGCCCTTGTAATAAAAACATTCTTGAACACATCAAGAATATTTCCATGATAGAGCAAAAAACCAAACCTGGAAAATATTCAGGTCTTAAGAAATACTCTCCTCCCAATCCTAGTATTGGAAACCCAGACTTAGGTAGCTCAAAAGACTCCCAAAAGATTGATATCTTTAAGAAAGAGAAAAAATGAAAGAAAAAGTCTTCGAGCAACTCGAGAAATATTTCTTTAATCTTCAGTATGAAGACTATGATAAACCTGACCAAAAACTCATTCAGCTTTTATCCTTGGAGACTGAAGAATGCGAAGAACTATATCAAAAAGAGCCATAACTTTTTGATCAATACTTTAAAATGGCCAAAGTAAATGAACCTGATACCCAATCAGAACAGGAAGACAATCCTAACATAAACGCTGTCAAGTTCGAATACTCAGATAAGAACGAAGAAATGGAAGCAGAATCTTCATATATGGCCACAAACAGAGGCGAAAGAAAGAAGAAAAAGAAGTATGAGTTCAAAATGCCTGTCCACAATGGTATTCCAAATAGTGGTAAAGGACCCGATACGATCAATGTCCTCAATATTGATTGTATCCAAGACTTAAAACTCAGAGAAAGAGTTATAGAAAAATGGGTTACTGAGATTTCACTAATCTTACAAACAAACCCAGATGAATTTGGAAATGCAAAAAATGTTCTCCTACTTTTAGAACACAAGACTGATGGAATTGTGCAAAAATTCCTTAGAAATAATAATTGGAATGAAGAATTACATGGATTAGACCTTTTTGATAGTCTTATAAATGTCATTTACACTACCTTCTTAGGACTAGATTATATCTCTAATAAAGACTTCACTATAAATAAGAAAGTCGACATAGCAAGAGTCTCAATGACAAAACTCCAGTTACATGATATTTGTCTCCTTGACAAATACACATATAGATATGAATCATATCTTTATGATATTCCACAGAGAAGTGAATATTCACAATGGATATCTGCTTATCTTATGAAAATACCAATCATTGGAGAAATCTGTACTGAAAGATGGAAAAAAGAAGCCATTGGAGAAATTCAGCAAACCAATCTTTCTTATGCAACAAAAATTGTAAAAGAAGAAATTGACAGAATATGTCAAGACAGATATAAACAACAAAGGCTTAAAACTATAAGCAAAGATTGTTGTAACATTCTGTCTGATTTCAAAGATTTTGATATCGGAAGGAAAACTTATACTAAGAAGAAGTATAAAGATAAAAACAAAAAGAAATACAAATCTTTTTGGAAGAAGAAAAAGAGAAGATTTTCTCCAGGAAAATACTTCAAAAAATCTTCGAAAGAAACACCTAAAAAGAATACTTCCTGCCCACAAGGAAAGAAAAAATGCAGGTGTTGGATCTGCAACGAAGAGGGACACTACGCTAATGAATGTCCAAATAAGAAAAAGCACCCTACTAAGGTCAAGGTATTACAAACTGCTAATAACGGAGGCTATGAAGCTCTTGAAGAAGAATATGATGGTATACAACATGTTTTCATTTTACATGTTGATACTAATTCCTCGTCATCCTCAGAAGAAGATGAATCAACTACTGATGACTCAGATTAGCCTTAAGCAGACTCCACCTTTTAAGAAGGGAGAGGTTAACCATTTTTGTGCAAACCTCCACAAAAATAATGATTCTCTCATGAATCTCACTAATCCAAACTCTATTTATGTTTCTGCCTTCCTTAACTTCAAAGGATATAAGAAATTTAGGGTACACTACTTTGTAGACACAGGTGCATCCTTATGTCTAGCAAGCAAGTTCATCATACCAGACGAACTATGGGAAAATGCTCCCAAAGAGATTATCGCTACTATTGCAAATGGTGACACTATAAAAATTAATAAAGTTTGCAGAAACATTAATCTCGAGCTCGCAGGTGAACATTTCAACGTTCCCACTATTTATCAACAAGACTCAGGAATTGATGTTGTAATTGGCAACAACTTCTGTCAAGTCTATGGAGCATTTATACAATGGATAGATAGAATTGCCTTTCATCTTAACAACGATATGGTAATTGTAAAAAAGGTTACTGAAGCTTTTAGTAAAGGAAAACCAAGTTTTCTTGAAACCCAGAAAAAGGGTTCTAAAGAAAAACAAATTCTGGGTACCAATATAACCCAAGAAAGAATTATTGGAGAAAGGATTGTTTCCGTCCAAACCACCATTTTCAAACAGATAGAAGATCTTCTTGAAAAAGTTTGTTCTGAAAATCCTATTGATCCAAAAAAAACCAAAGGATGGATGAAGGCTTCAATCAAGCTCATTAATCCTAAAACAATTGTCAGAGAAAAGCCTATGGTTTACTCTCCACAAGATAGAGAAGAATTCTCCAAACAAATCAAAGAATTACTTGATATGAGATTAATCAAAGAATCAAAATCTCCTCATACGTCTCCTGCTTTTCTAGTTAACAAAGAAGCAGAAAAAAGAAGAGGAAAGAAACGCATGGTTGTCAACTACAAGGCAATCAATGATGCAACCATTGGAGATTCCCATAATCTCCCTAATATGCATGAGCTCTTAACTCTACTACGGGGAAAAAATATTTATTCAAGTTTCGACTGCAAATCTGGTTTCTGGCAAGTCCTACTTGATGAAGAATCGCAGCTACTCACTGCTTTTACATGTCCTGATGGGCTCTTTCAATGGAAGGTATTACCCTTTGGGCTTAAACAAGCTCCTAGTATTTTTCAAAGACACATGCAGAATGCCCTTCGAGGTCTTGAAAGTTTATGTACTCTATATGTTGATGACATCATGGTCTTCAGCAAAAAAGAACAAGAACACTATGTTCATGTTACCCAGGTTCTCAGAACCATTTTAAAATACGGAATAATACTTTCACAAAAGAAAGCTCATCTTTTCAAAACAAAAATCAATTTTTTGGTCTTAGAAATAAATGAAGGCACTCATTGTCCTCAAAAACATATTCTTGAACATTTACATGATTTTCCAAATGTTTTAGAAGATAAAAAACAACTACAAAGATTTCTTGATGTTTTAACTTATGCTGAAACATATATTGAAAAACTTGCAGCCATGATAAAGCCCTTACAGACAAAATTAACAAAAGATGTCATTTGGAGTTGGTCAAATACTAATACAGATTACATCAAAAAGATAAAGAAAATCTTAATCAATTTTCCAAAGCTTTATCTTCCGAACATTGAAGACAGTTTAATTATTGAAACTGATGCTTCTGATGAATTTTGGGGAGGAGTTTTAAAAGCCAAAAATTCCAAAAACGAAGAACAAATTTGCAGGTACACCTCTGGCAGTTTCAAAGCAGCCGAGAAAAACTATCATAGCAATGAAAAAGAATTACTCGCCGTAAAAAGAGTTATTACAAAATTATCTGTATATTTAACACCGGTAAAATTCCTGGTCTGTATAGATAATAAAAATTTTACTTATTTTCTCCGAACTAAGATTGCATGAGACAACAAATTAGGCCGACTAATACGTTGGCAAGAATGGTTCTCTCGATATACTTTTACTGTAGAATATCTTACAGGAGATAAAAATGTGCTGGCAGACTGTCTCACCCGTGACTTCAGGTATGTCTTACATCATCCATGATCTCACTTGCTCCTCTCGAGCCCTATAAAAGGATATGATCCCCACGACATATTCCTTACAAACTTCACTCACAAAAAAGAGAGGGGGAGGATAAAAGAGTTTAAAAATTTACAAATTTACAAAATGGAAGACCTCAAATCTTTGAGGATGAAGAAACAAATACTCCTCATAGAGCTATCAGGAATCGAGCAAAAAATCAACTTGTATGAACAAGTAACAACGGTCACCGATGTACCGGAAAGCGAAAGCTTAGAAACAAAGGCTATTCCGGTGCAAACGGCACCTGGTAAAGAAACAACAAATCCGTTGAAAGCTGATGCTTTGCTTAAAAGCATAATAAAAGAGACAGCTACTCCTGACGTAATAGGCAATTATCAGACCCTCTCAATGTGTCTATAAATTGAGAGTTATGTTTTCATTAGAGAGGGGAAGAAGGAGGGCAAGAAAAAACACTATCTATCGTATAAGTTTTCTGTTTAATGTCTTGTGAGTAAAATCTCCCTTAGAAGGGAGAAGATGTAAAATTTTGTAAGAGTACTCCCTTTTTGGGAACTCTTTTATCAATAAATCCATGTTTTGTTATACTTGAGTGTTCATACAAAATAGAGTCATGAAACCTGTAAGTGACAGAGTGTCAGGTGGACGATGGTCAATAGTACCGCAGGCATGAGACCAAGAGGGAAAGCAACCACACAGACCAAAGGATGACACCGGCTGGCTTGAAAGGTTTCTATCTATGTAAGTATAACACTCACTCCAAAATATTTATTGATTAATGAGTTTTCTCCTTACACACTTTACATCTATTCCCTTCTTGTTAAAAAAACCCCGCACACACGCAAACACACGCAAACTGGTATCAGAGCCTTGTTAAAAATGGTATCAAAGAATTTTGTAATAACTCTTTTTACGGCGGTATCAAAGGATTTTCAGAACAAACGTTTTCAAGAAGATCAATAGGATTTACTATAAAGTGTTTTATTATAATGTAATAGTCTTCTTTGGAACTCCGGTTTGTGCATCGTTCTTGGCTATAGGTTCTTCAATGGGAATGACTTCTATTTCTTCCTCTTCTTCCCTTGGCTTCTTCTTTGAACTACTCTCTCCGGTTTGTTTGCCACTTCTCAAGGTCACCACATTGACATTTGGGTTCTTTTCGGTTTGAGAAGGCAATTTTCCACGAGACTCCAACTTGCTTATGGATGTAACTATATCTCCCATTTGTGCTTCAAGGTTGGAGATACTAGTTCTTGTCTCTTTTTGGAATTGTTGGGTACTAGTGGCTAAGGATTTGACAATGTCTTCAAGGGACATTCCGGAGCTACTCGGTTGGGATTGAGGAGGTTGTTGGTGATGATGTGGAGGGTGCGGTTTGGGTTGATAGTGTGGTTGTGGATGTTGGTAGTGAGGTTGTTGTGGTGGGTAGGAAGGTCTAACCAATGCATTTTGAGGCAATGGTCTTGGGTTGTAGCTCATATTGGGATTTGGCTTCCAACTTGAATTATATTCATTTTGGTAACCGGATGGTTTGTTGTGGAAATTTTGGAATTCTCCCGTGGCATTTACATGTTCCGCATCTTCTTGAAGAATGGGGCACATATCCATAGGATGTCCCATTGTTGCACATATTCCACAAACCATCACTTGTGGAGTTTATCCCATGGCTAACTTTTGGACAACGGAGGTTAAATCTTTGATTTGAGACTCGAGATTTGATGTTCCCACTTCATTGACTTTGTGTTGTGTGTCTTTTTTCATGTCTTGGCGCGGGCCAAAGTGTTGGGAATTCGCGGCTATGGTGTTGAAAAGTTGTCTTGTTTGTTGTGGAGTTTTACTAAAGACATCACCACCACTTGAGGCATCAACTAATCTTCTCTCCATTGGCAACAATCATTCATAGAAGTGTTGGATGAGGAGTTGTTCCGGAATTTGATGTTGTGGACAACTATAGCATAAGTTGTTGAACCTCTCCCAATAATCATGAAAAGTCTCATTTTGACCTTGGCAGATTCCACAAATCTCATTTCTAAGACTTGAGACTCTTGAAGCGGGATAGAACTTGTCAAGAAAAGCTCTTGCCATGTCGGTCCATGAGTTGATTGACCCCGGGGGAAGATAGAATAACCAATCCTTTGCTCTATCGGCCAATGAAAAGGGGAATGCCCTTAGCTTGATTTGGTCATCGGTTGACCCTTGTGGCTTCATCCTAGTGCAAATAATGTGAAACATCTTCAAGTGCTTATGAGGGTTTTCATTCTCTAATCCATGAAAAGTTGGAAGGTGATGAACTAAACTTGACTTCAATTCCGAACCTCCTTCCAAAACGGGATAATTGATACAAGTTAGAGTTTGTGTAACATCGGTTTCCATCATTTGCCTCAAAGTTCTTTCCGGAGCTTCTCCTTTGTCCGTCATTGCAATTGGTTCAATAATGGGTGGATTTTGTTGTAGGGGTGGTGTTTCGGGAATTTCTTGGCGAGGGTCGGGACTAGAATCGGGTTCCGTGTCACTTGATGATGCGGGTTCAACCTCCGGTTCCCCGTGAGGATTAGAAGTTTGACCACGTTCTATTCTCTTTTCCTTCGCCAAACGTCTTGCTTCTTTTGAGATCTGGGCATAGAGAAACAAATTGATTAAAAATAAACCAATCCCCGGCAACGGCGCCAAAATTTGATGGTTGTCGAGGCCAACAAAATTAATAACCCTAAATCTTCTACACTAAAATAGTGTATAGTGGTAAAGTGGTCGAATCCACGGAGATTGGTTCAATTTTATAACTCTATGCAAAATCTCTATGTAAAAATACTTGTAAAAATAACAATACATTAAAAATGAGGGTTTTGGTCTTTTAAAATACTTGTAATAAAACTAGATTTAAACTAAGATTTAAATGAACAGTTTCAACAAAATAAGAATTTGATGTATAATCAATAAGAGAAAGATGGTTGACTTGAGGTTTCCTCACTTTGACTTTTTT